AATATCATTATTAATTTTTTATTTCAAATTCATAATTAAAAATTTCTTAATTAAAAATTATTAAATATTTATTATAGATTATTAAATATCTTCCAAATAGTTCTAAAATTTTATGTAGTTCAATAGAACGTGATTGTTATAAGGAAAAGGTAAGTTTTATTACACTGTTTCATAATAAAAAATTTATGTTATATTATGCAATTTTATATTATAATAACATTATAATATAAATTATATATATATATATTTTATAATAGGCCTATTTATTTATTAAAAACTGTAAGAGTGGATGGATTAATACAAATCTTTCTGCTGGAAGGGAATATTGTTGTAAGAATGGTAGACCATACAAATGTCCAATATTTTAAAATAAATATTTTTTATTATATTTATTATATTATTATATTATTATAAATTTTATACTTCTTCAATTTAATAAAACTATTCTTGATTTTATCACATTTTCTTCTTAAATATCCCGCTCTTTTTCTAAATATAGCTTCAAAAGCAACATATACACTTCACAAAGAATTAAAAGAATCTCAGATAAATATTTGAAATCCTTGTTCTATAATTAAATTGCTAAATATAAAACTTTATTTTATTCCGTGTATTATAAGAAAAAAAAAATTTTTTTTCCATTATATTTTTTGTTTTAGTTATTGACATTTGAGGTATAATTTTGATCTTTAATTTGTGCTATTAGGTCAAGTTCAGGCATAACCCTAATATTATAAATGACAATGTTAAATTTAAATTAATCAGTTGCTTTAAATTTGTATCTCACACATCTATATCTATATTTTTAATAGTCAAAATAAAAATTAATTTTTATTAATTCAAAAAAAAAAAATGAAAAATAATTATCATTTATATTATTGTATTATATTATTAAATATATATTAATAATGATAACAATTACAGTGTCTTATAAAAAAGAAACAATATGAAACTATACTACATATAATATTAATTAATTATCTTAAATAAAATATATTACAAATAAAGAGTGGTAAGAAACATGTGTGCAAGACTTTTAGCATGTCCTTTGTGCGCACAACCAAGTTTTTTAACATTGGATGCATTGAGAGCAGGATTGATAAGTGTAGCCACAAGACCTCTTACATGTCCTGTATGTAATGAAGTATTGCTTGGTATTGATAAACTTACTATTCATTTATTTAGCCATACTATTAATTTAAACAGTAATAATACAATAGAATCATTGAAACATACAAATATTATTCCTAGTACTTATAATTCATCAGCAATTAATAATTTAGAAAATACTATTTTTCAAGATTGGAATGTGTCTAAAATAGAAATTACAGATTCAAATAAATTTTCTCAAAATATTTTAAATATTCAAAATAATTCAATGTCTTCTCAAAGCTTGCATACAAAAAATGAATCTCCAGTTTTTAATTCAGAAATTTCTATTGATCAAAATCAATTAAATCATGTACCTCAAATCACATCTTTACAAAATTCAATTTGTGAAAATAAAGAAACAAATACATTTCAAAAGAGCAAAGAAGTAGAATTACAAAAAGATTCTCAACAAATACTGCAAGAAACAATGAAATTAAATTATGCTACACAATATTTTACTAATCAAAATATTAAACATATAAATTATATGCAAAATTATCCAGAAACAGAATATGGAAATGTTCAGACATATAAAAATTGGATGCAGAATCAACAACAAAATGAAAATGTAACAGATAAAATAGAAAAATCTCTAGAAAATAATGAATCTCATAATAATGAAATGACACTAAATAAATTTTCAAGTTCTTATACTAACATATCATTACAAAAAGCTAATAATAAAGATATACAAGAAAATTTATATATTACATGTAATGAAAATCAAAATGAAAATCTTAAACAAAAAGAAATATTACCTCAATTGAAACTTATAAAAACATTATCATCAACAAAACAAAAGACTGAACGTTGCAATATATGTGGTTTTCATTTTCTTGATCATAATATTTTGCTTTTACATAAACAATTAGTACATATGATTAATGAAAAAGATTTAAATATTATTCCTGAAAATTTACTTAAGAATTATTCATGTCATTTATGCTCTAAAGTATTTAAGATGAGAGGTAGTTTAATGGTGCATATGCGAGTAGCACATATGGGATGTAATTTAGGTAATTTATTATAATATTAATATTTATAATATATATTTATAATATAATATTAATATATTTATAATATAATATTAATATTTATTAATAGATAAAAAAATCAAATAATAAATATTAATATATATATATATATATATATATTTTTAGGTTCTTTAGCCAAAGGTGAACAAATAGAATTTATATTTAATGAAAATAAGTATAATTGCCCCACATGTGGAAAAAAATTTAAAAAGGTAGAATTAATAATTAATTAGCATTTAAAATATTTTTCTTTTATAGAAAAATAAAGTAAATTATTTTAGGAACAACATGTAATGCAACATTTAAAAACACATGAAGCTAAACAATGGGAATGTGATATATGTAGTAAAATGTTTACAACAAAATATTTTTTAAAAAAACATAAAAGATTACATTCAGGAGAAATGCCTTATAAATGTAATATATGCAATAAAACTTTTACTTTCCAACAATCATATCATAAACATAGATTATATCATAAAGATGATAAACCTCATACATGTACAACTTGTGGCAGATCATTTAAAGAATTATCTACTTTACATAATCATGAACGAATTCATACAGGAGAAAAACCTTTTGCATGTGAAACTTGTGGTATGTTAACTTTTATAAAACTTTTGTTTAAAATAATGCTATAAAAACTTTAGAATAATGCATGTTTTGTTTTCAGTTATTACTAACAATTTAATATGGATTGTTCTGTTTCTGCAATGTATGTATAACAATGTTTTGTAATTTATTATTAGATTATTAGATAATATAGCTTATATTTAAAAATAATGACTAAATAAACAATAATTATGCTTTTATATAGTCTATAATTTATAAATTTTATAATTATAAATTATTTTTTATATAATAATAATTAAAAATAATATAAAAAAATATAAAAAAATTAATTTTTTATTAAATAGTTCTTTTTATTAAATAATTCATATCTTTTTTTTTTAGGAAAATGTTTTCGTCAACGTGTTTCATATTTAGTTCATCGTAGAATTCATACAGGTGTAATGCCTTACAAATGTATAATATGTGGAAAAAATTTCAGATACAAGGTATAATATATAATTATAAAAATGTGACATTTTATTAATTAATTTATAATTTAATATTTGATTATAGGTAAGTCAAAGAACTCATAAATGTCCAGCACAACAAATAGGAAATATACATCAAACAAGTACCATAGATCAAAAATCAAGTCTATCCAATATGCAAGATATAAATAATGATATATATAAAACTCAAAAACAATTTTTAAAAGAAAATCAATCAATGCTAAATATTATAAATAATGAAGAAAATAAATATGTGCTAATAATAAATACTCAAGGCCAACATCTTTTAACAAAAGAAAGTAACATTGAAAAAACTATTACAAATAAGAAACAAAAATTAGAAGAATGTACAGAAACAAACAATAAAAATGAAAGAACAAAAAATATATGGAAATCTGACATTCCTAATAGTTCCACATTTAAAAAATCTTTAGAAACTTGTAAAACAATATATTCAAAAACTGAAAAATCATTTCAAGAAGATGCAAATGATTTTTTTTCAATGATAATACTTCCACTTGAAAATGGATTATCTTCACCCACTGTAGAAATGGAACATTTACGAGTATCATCTCCCATACAAAAAGAAATTATATCAAAACCTTATGAAACTTTTAGAAATGCAGCATATGACATGGAAATGAATATATTCAATACAGATATAGAACAAAATTTTAGTGGTGTAAATAATAATACAAATAATTTACAAACTATTAATGAAGAATCTTTAAAGCAACTATTATATACCATTAATGAGAAATAATTGAATTATCCATAAAAATTACATTATTAGTTATTGTTACTATAAATAAATAAGTATTACTTTAAAGAAAAAATGATTTATAACTTACAACAAATTTTTTTCGAATATTTTTATAATATTAATTATAAAAACTTACTTTTTTAAAATATGCTTTTTCAAATGTAAAAAATATTTACATTTTCCAAAATAGTTTTACATTTTAATTACATTTTCCAAACATTTTCCAAAGTAACATTATATCTAAATTATTAAATAAAATTAAATATTTTTTAAATTATTCAATAACTAAATATTTAAATTAATCGTATTAATAATATTTAAATAATATATATATTTAATTTTCATTAATATTTATAAAAAATTAGTATATATTTTAACTTATCTTTTTTTTCATGAAGTAAAAAGCTATAATATTATTTTTATCGCTGATTGGTTAAAAAAAAACAAATAATATAAATTAACCAATCACTATTTGAAAGACATACCACAGCGAGATATCATCTGTGGTTATACTATGACTATATAACGAAACACACGTGCTTCACTTGAATCAACCATACAACCTGCATCATGTATAATCCTCGGTCGAGATATCGTAGCAGACGACGCTCGAATCGACTTGACAGCACAGTCTGTATTTTCACGTGTCCTCTTGTACATCGCATTGCGTAACTGGAGTCCGACTTCCAGGGAGGAGCTCCCTTTTTCGGTAAGTAATTATTTTAAGTAAAATTAAAGACCAAGGAATATTTAATAATTATACTATCTTTAACAATGTCAAAGATTTGTTCATTTTATTTTTAAGTATATCTTATTTATTACAAACAGGTTTGACGTAATTCGCGAAATATTTTAACTTATCGGCCAATTGGATACTACCGAACGAGGTTTTCAACCAATCATAACGATGTGTACATACTTATCAGGATTAAACAATAGAACTAGAACTCATTTATTATAACATTGTGAAATTTACATATTTTCGTAGAAAATTTAAAAATGATAAAATAACAATTCTATAATTGTTTAAATTTTAAATTCGTGATTAATTTCAAAAATATATTTTAATTATCAATTAATTCATCATCAATTAAGTCTTGTATATCATTAAAGTTTATTTTAACTAAGATAGATTATAGATATATTAATAATTTTTATAACAAATAAAATTTTTATTTAATTTATTACATATTTAAATTAATATTAATATATATTAATTTTGCATTTGACAGTGCTAATGTTGTTTTATTACTGTTTTATTATTATTTACGCTTAATTTATGATAACCTCATCATATTAATCAATGCTTAAAGTTTTTTTATTATATGTCACTCATTAATATTAAATTAGAAATTATACATTAAAAAATTATATTTCATTATTTGATTAAAAACTAAATAGTTCTCAATAACTTTTTACTTATAATTTCATTATGTATACTTAAAAAGAAAAATTATTTTGATACATTACAATAATATTACATATCATGCATAATT